TGACTCAGTACGGCCGTCGAATAGATCGGTTCTCGACGGCCTGGTAGTTTCCGAGCGGGGACTGTAAAGATGCCCACCTCCCGTCCAATGAGATGCATCAAAAAAAAAAGAAAAAAAAGTTGGACTAACTTGGACTAACTTGGACATGATAGCTCATGGCTTTGCGTCGGCGGGAAGTCAGGATTTTATGGGCTTTAAAGTGGGGGGGTTGATTTCCCGACTTTTTTCTTTTTCTTTTTTGGCTCTGAGAAATAGAGCTTGAAATGTGAAATTCGAATATTGTGGAGCATCTGACAGGAACGCTTCCGCGTCTGTCGGATGGCCTGCTAAAGGCATCATGAGATACATCCCACGGAATGTCGGATGGCCTGCTAAAGGCATCATGAGATACATCCCGAGGAATGTATCCCAATACCCGTTACTTGTTCATCCTCGTGAATGTGTTCGTGGACATATTTTATTGCCACGGTACATCACTATGAAGACTTACGTGAAGGAGATCGTACCAACCCATGAATTCGGGTGCACATCTGTTCTTCATAGTTTTATGGGCTATTTCAATTCATTTTAAATCAGAAAACGATCCAATCGTGCAAATAAAAAATCACTTTGTATTTTTCGAAAAACCATAAAACTGTGTCACACATCGTAGAATACTTCGCTAGTGGGTCCAGGCCCCAGGACGAAAAAAAAAGAAAAAGAAAAGAAAGAAAGAAAGAAAGAAAGAAAGAAAGAAAAGTGTTCCACTTCGCCCACTCGCCGAGGTCGTGATTGCAGTTAAGATTCATCTAGGACATACATCATGATTAGGACTTTGTCTAGGATGCTCTGGGCCCATCAAATTCATCTCGCTCTGGCTGTGATTGCAGCCAGATACATTTAGGAAAGTACCTGTGCCAGGGCATACTCACATACACTAGGCTTCTTTTTCCTTATTTATGGTGTATTTCTGCTCATCTGCTCAGATTCATCCAGGTACGACCATATATGCAGTCAGATAAATCTGATGATCTGAGATACCAGGAAAAAAAAAGAAAAAAAAAGGGATAACTGCTCCTGGGTCACACTCTAAGTTCAAAATGGAAAAAAAAAACACTTAATGGTAACATCATCGTCCTCCAAGTTCAAAACGGCAAAAAAAACACTTAATGGCAACATCCTCGTCGTCCAAGTTCAAATCGGCAAAAAAAACATCACTTTTTTTTTCTATTTTTCTTTTTTAATCAAACAACGGTTGTTTTTTTTTTTGTCTTTTTTTTTTTTGTTTTTTGGTCGC